GTTAGAGAACGGATTATAGTTGAAAATAATTGTACACGCAATTACATTATTAAAACATATTTTGTGTATAATATTGTTATACTAAAACAACTCGACGATAATTAACTCGAAAACCCGAACATCATAATATTTTAACAGTATCAATTTAATTCGTATTAAGTTTTACTATATTAATAATAAAATTGTTATACTTCATCAATTATTACTAGGTTCTATAACTGCATTTTTATTTTTTTTAAACAGTTCTCTGTAAATGATGTGATATTAGCACTAATAATGTATAGTAAAGAAGTATAACTTCAAGTATAAGAATTTTCATTATAATATTAAATAATACTTAATATGCAAAACGGTTAAATAAAATATAAAGAACAATTTCTTAACTTTATCTAATAATACACAAGATGAACCTAAAAGATACAATTTTGGGTAAATTAACAGTGAACTAATTATTAAAAAATACTAAATAAGGGTATTTTCTCTTTAAAGTTAAAATATATGAACAGACATTATGTACATATTTAAATCTTGTATTATAAAGATACTTGACTAGGTAAATTTATTTTAATATTACCTATATTAATAAACCCATACTTATGATGTGAAACATAAATACCTTAAATAAATAAACAAAATGTATGGTTCGCATAAAGTAAACAACTATTATTCAATGCACGTTAATACAGTATATCACATACGATTTAAAAACTAATATATTTTAAGTTAAAAGCCAATTCTGGTACAGTTGTGTATTTAGAACTTCTACACGTTTTATTTTAAATTTTAAATAATATAATTATAATAACTGTATATTCGTGTTTTTTGTATAAATTACTAATAATTAAATTTATCTTTAATTAAAAAGTATTCTCTATTTCTATTAGAGTTTTTACCCGTAAAGAAATGTATAAATAATCAATGCGTTAATTAATTACAGTTATAATTTTTAGATTTATTTTATTTAATTTATTATTTTTATTTAATACTCTACAAAATCAAGTGTCTTATAATATATCCAATAATTATTGTCTTCAATCATTAATATCAACAATGCATTGTGTAACCTGTTGCTCATAATAATAACTTATTATTAATAGGACAGTCCATATAATAAAATAGTGAATCATTTAAGTCGCATCTAAATAAAAATAAAAATGCTTTGTACTTTATTTTCAAAGAAATAACGAACTATGACTAATTGACAACATTTCAAAAATATATTTATAGTAATTCTCTATGCATATATATCATCTTGTCAATAGAAATATAAAATATGCGTGTATACATTATATATATATGTATAATGTAGGTGCAGGTCTGTGTCAAATCTGTAAAAGCCGCATGGTTAAGGTAATAAATTTATAACTTATTATCTCAAAGTTAAAATACAAAAACTTGACAAAACATCCAATAAATTATATTTGGGCAATCAGTGTGTATAATATATTATAATACCGGCTGATAGATATTTCTAAATCCGTCATAATAGTTAATATTGTCAAATATATATATTGTAATTTGATGTAACAGTATAAAAATTTTTTAGTGAGATATATATATATATATAATATTGATTTGGAAAAAAATTATTATTCAATATAATATATAATATTTTATTCGTGTTGTCAATTATATGCATTTATTTGCAAACGTAAATTATATGCCTGCATGTATAAAAAAAAAAAATGGTATCAGGGAAAAACAAAACGATAAATATGCGTATTATTAGCACGGGTGCCACCGGAAACTTACTGTAGCTCAAACAAACAAAATATATAGGGACATAATAAATAGAAATTAGCAAATACAATGACCCCACGCCAAGTTTGGTGAACCCGTGGTAAAAATTGTAGTGTGTTGGTGGCGGCGTACCGTTCATCCGAAGGTCAAGAAGTACCGGTAGCATTTCGTGAACTCATATTTTTCATCTTGCACGCATCATGCGGTGGGTAAATATCCAGATGAAATTGTAACCGGAACCGCGGTATAGTATATGCACACACCGTGTACGTTCTATAGGTAGGTACATGTCTACATAACTGCAGTACTGCGGCGGCAGTGTCTAATCGCATTCAATTCATATGTACATCAATACATCTATACGAATAATAATATATAATCGTGCGTGTAGGCGATTTCAATTCGAAGTGTGTTTTCGTATTATAATAGTATAAACATATAGGTAGCCCACGTGTAAATAATTGATCTTGCGAACAATCTATTCAAAAGATGTCCAAAAAGTCGACTGTTTTCAAAACCGAATATAGTATTCGAACGTGAATACAGGGTAATTCACCAAGTATGCTCATTACTCACCTCAATTTTTCAGTTTTTTTTAAATTCTCAAAATTTTTTGTATTACTTAGGAAGTGTCTTTTGATGACGCAGTCTTTTTTTTAAATCTTTATAATCTTATCCAAAAATAATTCCAACAAGTAGTTTTTCAGTTATTAAAATTTTATATTTTGAGATATTTAATCCTTGAAAATTACTAAAAATTATTTTACAGTAATTTTAAATAAATGTGAGTTCGAATCTAGTATTTATTATACTTAGATCATTTTTATAAATTGTTAATATTGATAGATAAAAATTACTATAACCTCATATTTTCAAAACCATTATCGTGAACCTATTATTCTTAATACATAAAATGAAATAACTGAAAAATTAGTTGTTCAAACTTTGATTTTGATAAGTCAAAATCTTAAGAAAAATTATTTGCTAAATAACATACTGTATGAAGAGGGGAGAAGAGTTATCAATTTTAAAAACAGAAGTTTGTGTCTCCACAGAAGACTCCTTAAGTAATACGAAAAAATCTTAAGAATTTTAAAATATAGTATTTAAGTATGCTTAGTAAATCACCCTGTATGTGCTATGATTAGTGATCCATTCAACTGTGGCTTACGTCACAATTTTCTCAGTCTGTGTAAGTACATTATTACGCTCGCCTTACGCGAAGAACTATTCGTTATAATTATGTATGAACTAAGAATAGTCTGCAGATCGCATCATAAGTAACAAATCCAGTTTCTTCTCGTAGTGTCATGAAATAAAAAAATATAAGTAAATAATATATACACATACAATATGTGTGATCAAAATCTGTTCATCTCGTCGAATTCCATATTATAATATTTAATTTTTTACTCAACAATATATAAAAAATTTACGAAAATGTCCATACGAGTGTATTATAAGTAACTTATTTCTACACTAGTACTAATCGTACTCACAAGAATATAAATAATATAACCCCGGTGTTATTAGTGTATATCATTAACTGGTTGACGTTTGATTGTGAAATTATTTATTTAAACTTGCTATTGCGACGTACCTATCAGTAATGTATATGCAGATCAACTGAAAACAAGACGAGTGACTTTTTTTTAGTTAGCTAAAGCCAAATTCGAACAGAAGAATTAATCCTCTGAGAAATCATTGAGACTCTTTGTCAACTATCATACACCATAAACATATAACGCAATAAATATTTTGAAATGTTATTATAAAAAATTATGCTTTAAACTTAAATCTTTAATTCATGTCTAAAAACTACAATTCGAAATTTTTCAATTCATGATAAGTAATGTAAGAATAAGAGTTAGACATTTTTATTTTATATTTTTATAAAAATTTTGCAATATTGGTCAACTATTTAGTTGACTAAATAATTTTCGAACAATCCTGTATAACGTTCTTCAGGATTTATGTGAAACGGTAAATAAATAATAACACCACGTCATTTTTTGACTAACGGACTTCGGACAGCTTGTGCATGCGTCGTCATATCAAAATGAAAAAAAAAACAATACCATTATAAACGGTTTTTGAAAAAAAAAAAAACTGTATATAGTGTATAATTTCTACTTGCTCACCACTCATTCTAGTCATACATGATTGCGCCCACAGTTTCTTTTGCGTTGCTAATGTGATTGAAAACGCGAATTTGACGACAACGCCAAAAACAACTATACTACACAATAACAATATAATAATAATATATGCATCGCCACCGTAATTATACCTCGCAGTGTGCATTCTTTGATTTTGGTCATAATGAAATTCTTTCAGCCGCAAACCAATTATAGCATACAACGAAACCCTGCAGTATTGCTGTCGATGACAAAAAAAATCCAAGTTTAATAATTTGTACAAGTACTGGTCTATATTTTGATGATTATATGCCACGTTTGAACTTACGCGTATTTTGTAATATATTTATTATTAGATGTGATCATATTGCATAATAATAATATATTATAATATTTTGCACTATTATTTATGATTTAATAATAATTTAAAATGTTATACTTTACATGTAAGTTAAATAATATTCAATTATTTTAAGACAGTTTTGTTTTAATTATTTTGGTGCTTATTATTTTATCATGGTTATCGACATAAATTATACTACATTTATTGAAACAATAACAATCAATAAATTTATTATTACAATACAATATATACGTTATTGTTAAAATTATTCATAAAAATATTTACTGCTTGTACACTGAAAAATGAAGATTTAATATATTTATTCTAGAGGTCGACTTCAATTAGATCCCTACACGGCGTTTATTAAAATAATAAAACGTTCAAAGTTGTAATTTATTTTTTTAATTTATCTAACAGTTAGGTTTTAATTTTTAAAAACATATTAGGTAGGTATGAAAATATCCAATTTATCGGTTTGTAATCAAATTACGTGAGTAATATTAATTTTTTTCGACGAAACAATAATAGGAGTACTCATTATTATATTATATACTTTTATATATATATATATATATATTTTAAAACATCAATCACGTAAAAAACTATTATTTTACGCCATACAGCTAGATAGAATTATTCCAAACAAGTATAAATCATTTGTTCCTAGTAGAGATTTTTAGCCTAAGGCATGTGTGACGAGTGTGTATAGGACGCGCGTGTGAAACCTAATTCAAAAAACATAATGCTGAGCTAATGTATTTGGTATTTTGATTTTTCAGACAAACGATGTCCTTGCAGATGCCGGTGACGGAAGACACGCCTCCCGACATGCTGTCTGGGGCAATGGATCTGAACGTGATTTTGCCTAACGGTTCCGTGATCAAGATGAGCGTCGAGAGAAGGTCAGTATCCATTGAGATTTTCTGACGTATCTAATATACTGTTATAATAATAATCCAAAATATCTATCTATAACAATATTATTATTTATATTATACAAAGATTAAAAATGTCGACATTTTTTTAACTTAACTACGTCTTTCATTTGTTTTGTTAAACAATTTTTAAAAGTCCGCCACACAAATTAACATTTTTTAGACGACGTTGTTCATTAAAATGGTCTACTGTCAATAATTAATTAGTACATTTCAATTCAAAAATGAGTGGTGACTTTTGATTTTAATTGTGGCACTACGTTAATCAATTTGATTAAACATTTTATCGTTATGATTCATGCTCTACATACAAATATCTCTTCCTAAAATCCATTCTGAAAAGTTAATATGATTTACATTCCTATTTGTTCACGTTCAATTTTAAAGTATATATCATAACTAAATAAAAATAAATCACATAGACGTATAAAAAAGAAAATAATAATAATTTATGAGTTATGAACCGAATCCGTTATATTTTCTTTTTTATCAAATCTATTTCATTTTTTGATAAAATATTAAAGAGATGTTCTACTTAAATTTCATGCCTTCATAAAAACATTTTACTTACGTAATATTTAATCTTGCCCTACATAACTTCACTAAACTTATTTCATAAATATAGGTTGTAATTGTAAATCAATTTAGGTATTTTTTTTAATGATTACTGATAACAATACATTTTTTCACCTCATAAAAAATGTTAATGTTAATTCAAAGTAATCAAACATTGATGCAAATATGGTATAACCGGCAACGTATACTGCCATTAAAAATAATAAATACCTTGCCAATCAATTATAGCCTATATTACTTACTCAATATTTATGGCGGTCTTTTAACGCATTAGCCAACACTATAATATTGCTATTATTTTTCTTCCTCTTATATGAACGGAATGACGTTATTATACAATAATTAATGTTTTAGAATAGTTAAACGAACCATATAATTGAAATATTGCTGGTTTATTGTTAAAAGAAAATTAGGTGGACTTGGAATTTGATCTCATTGGTCAGTTCCATTCTTATTCCTTTAAACTTTAAATTTTAATTTTAAATTATATATTTTATGACCATTTTGATAAAAGTACAATTTAAAAAAAATAAAATAATGTTCTAATTTAATCCATTACTGTATAAATCTATAATCTCTTTATTGGGTAATTAAAAAATAATAGATTAAGAAGCTTAGACTTTAAAAAATGCATTGTTTATGTTTTATTATTAATGAATATTTAATATTTATTTTAGAGAATAATATGTTTTAAAAATTTAGATTATAGTTAAAATGGTTTAAACACGTTTACAGACTTCTTTTCTTATTTTAAAGTATAGGTAAATACTAGTTATATTCATTTTAACAAAAATTAATAAATTAGAGTATTTTGTTCTGATTTTTTTTTATACATCTAAAAATGTTAATTTTTACGAAACAAAAAAATTACTGATACTTTTATTTCATCTTTTCACCTGTCATCTTTTTTTTTCAATTTTTTTTTAAATCTACTATAAGCATTTTACGTATGATCCTATCAACCATTTATACCTAATATACGATTTTTAATCATATACTATTATTTAGTGAATAAGTATTTTTTTTTTATTTTTTTTTTTTTTTAATAAATAAAACAAAAACATCTATGGGTTTTTTTTATAAAAAATACGAATCTAACATTTTTTGTACATTAAACTTTACTACGTTGTTAAGCTTTCAGTCTTCAAATATATAAACACGTTATATAGTATACTTATGTTAAACCTATTTGCTTCAAATTTTAATAAATTATTTATTTAGGAAATAAGGTATGAAAAAAAAATATGGATAGTACTCCAATTCAAAAAGCAAATATATTTTTGTTGAACCACATCAATTTTGTTAAATTTACATTATTTTGATGTAATATGTACTAATACATATTAATTTATTATCACCACCATTTTTTTTTCCTGTTTAACAAACACTAGTGGAGGATCTGTGTGAACATTTCTACTCTACTGCTGCCATCATTTATTGAAGTATATACAAAACAAGCTACTATAGCCTAATACTTAATACACAGCGGGGCGATTGCAGATTGTACTGCATCACCTTACAAAATATAGTCAACCGGCCTAGAGTCATTTACCCGTCTTGTTCACGATCATGTGTACGCACCCGTCGGTCTGTGTTCGCCACCTACATTATAATGTCATTAGTTATTTTAAAACAAATACCTATCATTTAAATAAAGCTCTATCAAAACAAAAATTACGCTCAGATATGAGAAAAAAAATTTATCGAACATTTACATTAATAAAAATATACATAATATTTATATATATACACATCGGTCAATTTTTAGTTATTAAAATATTTATAAAAATTGTTTTGTATTAGTCGAATTTTCTATGACTATATAATTTTCTCGAGAATGAAACATTCAAATATGTATATATTTTCAAGACATTAATATTAAAAACTGTATAAACACAAATAAATTAACTATAATTATGTTATACAGTTTATAAATGTATATTTTGATTTAAGATGTGTTGAATATTTTAAAATTTAAAGACAACAAAAACTGTAATACATCCATTATATATTTAACTTGAAATAATATATATTAACTTTATTAGTTGAGTGTTAATTTACATTTATAATATTAATCTTTGAACTCGTAATTATTCCTTCTTAGAAATTGTTTATGAGCTGTATAAATTATATTTTTACACATATTTAATGCAATACAATACGCCTTAACCTTGTGAAACCATTTTAAGCAAGTATGCGAAAAGTCAGATATATATATACGTATATATCTTAATAGTTAATTTATGCGTGTAAAATTTTAGTAAAAATCTCAAGTTTTTAATTTAGTTTATTTATATATTTACGTGCTATAAAAATCAAATTTATTGAATTATTCATGGTAAAAATATGTACAATTAGTGCGGTTTTCCGTTTAATTTTACTCAAATACAATGTACCATTCGTCTATTTTTATCTATGGTCCATAATATAATGAAAACCAATAAGATGCATTAATAATAATAAAGAATAATTATATTTTTTCCTATAAAATTTGAAATTGATATTTTTATCATATAGTAATAGATGCTCAATTATGAACAGAACTACGTATCTAAATATTAATTGAATCATACGTCGTATGGTTTTAATATCTGTGTACAATTGTCCTCAAATAATTATACAATGCGTTCGACAGAGATAAAACGAGAGAGAAGAGAAAAAACCAAACTCGGAAGCTCGACGACAATAACCACGACCTACAGGCGGATTGGCCTACAATGAAGACTATTATAACTATGGGTAATCGAATTTTGTGGCCATTGTCATGGCGAAAATGTTTAACACCCGAGGAGAGTGTGTCATTGTTGACTGTGACCATATAAACAAATAGATACTACCTAACATATACCTATATTCCATAATATAGAACACACTGTGTAGATATACATACAGATTGTTTTGCCAAGCGTAATGTAATAAAATTATAATATTGTAGCGTTATTCACCTGATCGAGATTTATTGTTTCGGATCAATGGGTTTTGCGTCGTCGGAAAACGGTCGTCGTATTTATTATTATTGTTATTACTTATTATTACCATCTATATAAATAAAGATTCCAGGGCAAACGAAAAAAAAATACATAATATGATTTATTGAAATAATTAGACGTTGATTTTGATTTTTTTATGTTTTTGTTTTAGTACACCAATGATGGACTTGCTTGTTCAGATCACTACTGCCCACAAACTATCACCAGGCAGTCACGCGGTGCACGCAATCGGTGACCGTGGAGTTTTACCGTACAAACCCAGTACTCCTATCGGTAAGTACCCCGGATACATACCAAATACGCCTATAATGACATGTGAAAGTAATAATCTATCTGTATAAATATCGTAAACACACAAAAACAACAATTGGAATTTTTTGTCAATTACAAATGAATTTTTGTGGTACACCTTTACCTTGTTAAAGTTGGTTCAAATTAATCAATAAGTAGACCATGATAATGAAAAAAATGTGCTTAGAACGTATATATATATTTATACACTATACAGCGTGTTATATGATAACAATAACTTCTATAATAATAATAATACCACTCTACGCTATTTGAAATAATAAATAATACATAAAGTTTATCTTTCATAATATAATGTTATCGATAGTTTCAATATGAGTATAAATATTTACAACAGTCATTTCGAGAACATTTAGTCTTATGATGGTTTCTCTATGTATACCGACTTGTATTTTCGATTAAAAACGTTCGATACTTCATTTAACAAAAACATAATCTTAAGTAAGTTAAATATAATTAATTATATATTTTGTAAAATAATATTATTATTAAAAGAATAATTAAGAATGTAAATGATTTAAAACTTTACTGATTATTAAAAAAAAAAAACGATTAACACATCCTGTTCGATTAATATTAATTAGACTCTAACGTTTAATTTATGGAATTATAATTGATAGGATATAGAATTTATTAAACTCTCAAATGATATTAAATTAAATTAAAAATTGTTAAGTGAGGTAATTTTTAATAGCAAAACATTTTTGTCAAATGAAAGTTCCATTTTAAATCTGCCACCTTTTTTTTAAACCAAAAAAAACTTCTTAATGCTTCTATTAATCAACGTTTATACTGAAATATAACTAGACAGATTACCCTTTTAAAAAAAATTATGTGCAATATGTCTCGAGAATAATATTGCCAGGAAAATGCAACAAATGCGTTTTCTAAAGTGCTGTATACGACCTTTAACACCTCTTAATCGTATTCTCTCCCTCTCTTTTACAGGTGCCCTAGATACGTGGACAGTAAACATCGTTCCTAAAAACTTAAGTAAAAATGGCAGATATCAAAGCCAGTCTATTATAAAATGCATATCAAAACCGTTCGAACAAACGTTCCGTCTTCAGGTAATATTTAAACTATTTTTTTATATAAGTTAATTTAAAATTATAAACTTCTCTTCATATTTATAGGTACATTTACCGAGAAATCAGTTATACGTATCTCGAATTAGTCCAAAAACGCAACTAAGCAACATTCTTAAGCAAGTTTGTTTCGAGAAAAATCTTGATTCCACCAAATATACATTAAGAAAACCAGGTATGTTTTATTAGGCTTTTTATTATTTTATGATTATAGTACGTTTATGCCTACGTTCATAAATTGTTATGTTAAATTTTTAGAAAACTCATACTGAATGAACACATATTTTAAAATTTAAATCTTAATATCAAAGCCAATAAAAACTTTTGTACGAATACTAATTTACCATTTAAATGTTAATTTAAAATGTTGTTCATGTTCTCAACTAATTTTTGGATTAAATCAAAAAGCCAATATTTGTCATAATATGACGTAATTGTAATGGTTAATATATAGTTTATATCATGACCTTATAGTAAATAGCTCTGTCGATAACTAATTATAACCAATAGGTACCTACCTACTTTACACATAACGCAACCTATTTAATTACGATTTCATAAAATCAGTAATTGCTATTTAATATGCATCAAACTATTTTTTACTTTAAATATATTAATAACCAGTTAATTAATCAAAATTAATATATATATAATGATTTATCATAAAATAATCTATTATTCTATATTTTTTTTTTATCATATATGCTTACACAAATCTATAATTATAAAGAATAAATAATAAATAACTACATAGATGTGTATGACTAAACCGTAATATTAATATTAATAATTAGTATATAAGTGGACTTAAAAGTTAATAGAAAATTAGTTGGTCGTCACAAAATCTAAAATATTTAGAACGTCATATTGATACGCCTAACATATCACAAATATAATTAAACATTGTACACTAGAATTATTATTACTTTCTTCTATATTTAAGTTTTAAAAACTATCATCAGTATATACCAATACTTTTCATATTTTTCTTTTCAATAAATATCAAGAATTGTATCTGTACAAGTGTACATTATTTATTGTAATCTGACTATACTCATATATAAACCATTTTGTCTCCAGATCAAATCACCTTTTTTACATTTTTTAGTATCCAAACACTCCGAGAAACAGCTTTTGCATTACTTTCCACAAATCGTCTATGTCTATGTTACTGTTATTGATTTTCATTGAGATTCTATTCAACGTGCACACAATTGTTTCTTAACATATATTTATACATAAATTCCATACATTGCGTTGTCAAGTACTGTTATGTTATCTTATCTATCAATGTAAACTCGTAAAAATAATTAAACTGAGGCACCATTTTTTTACATATAGTATCGTAAACAACAACTAACAGTTCACTCATTTTTTTTTTTTTTAAGACAAATTGAACGAGCCTTTGGACTTGAGTAAAACATTAGTTGAGTATAAACTACAACAATTGTCTTTGGTGTTGAATACTAATCGCACTCTTATCGGCGGCCTATCTTCAGATGACATTATGTCCCGGACTCCTAAAAAATTTTCGGTAACGTATAAAACATATTATTGTAATTTATTTATATAATAAAATAAAAATTATTTAACTCGCCTTTGTAAGCAATTTTTATAATTATAATTAAATATAACAATTGAACTACTTGATTTTCTTTACAGAATATTTTTTTAAATAGTAAAGAATTAAACATTATTTTTAATACAACATTTAAATAAATATATCCTAGTACCTACCTATAATATGTAACATATTAATAAATTTTGGTACATTTAAAACTTAAATGTATAAATATGTTAACAGTGTGATGATAGTTTAAGTAGTGGTAGCTTGGGTGGTAGAAGTTTGAGTCCGACTAAATCAGATGAATCTTCAGACACTCCACGTCGTCCACTAATGGTTAAAGTATTACCATCTAGACCAGTCCGAAAAAGAAGACTAGCGCCAAAACCACCATTGGTAAGAAAATTTACACATTTAATTAAAATTTAATCAATTTATATATTTTTGATGAAAAACCAATACAAAAATAATTCCAGCAACAACGAAATGCTCCAGAACAAACAATAATATCACATTCACGAAATAGTTCTGATAGTAGTGGATACCACGAATCATCAGTCCTTAGTGATGCTGTTGATTGCAGGTAAAAAAAATATATATATCTCAATTAAATATTTTTGATAATATTAAAAAAATAAATATATTTCTTAAAATGCAATTAAAAATTATTTTTAAAAACATTTTAAATTCATATAAATCTGTAGTGCTTTGTATTAATTTTAATTTTTTCTTTTTGTCACAATCAGTATTGGAATGAGAAGAACTGGAAATTTTTCTCCTACTAAAACGTCTGGCCCGACCATGTCGCGTTCAATGACCAATCTTCAAGCTTGCGGACAAAATCAGAACCAGTTCTCCGAAATACCTTTTATGTCTAACAACATAGGTCAATCAAAACACTCCGTATCTACTACATCACTTATATCAATTCAAAGTGAGTACAAAAACATTTATTTTTACCATGAATAATATATAAATTAAAATAACCATGTTTTAAACCTATTACAATATTTTTTTTAATTATAAATATGAATACAATATAAGAAAAAAATATTAAAAATTATTAAATTTATAATTAATTTTGTGTATTATTTTAGTATTTACCTAAGACCTAACTGTCGTAAAAATATATCATTGATAAGTTTTTCATATTTTTAGGTCGTAAAAAAAAAGCTGCACCTCTTCCACCTCTAGCAAATAAGCCCAAACTTGCACCACCTCAAGAAGAATCTGAAATTGAACTAGAAACACAGAGAAAATCGCAAACACTACCTGTTACTACAAAAATGTATACAGCAGATCCACAAGAAAAATCAAAAACTGTTTCCAGAATAGAACTGAACAATAATGTAGTTGAACCTAATCTATCCCCAGCAACATCCTCGTTGTCATCACTTAGTCGATCAGATGTAGATAGAGGTATGTTACCCATAACACCACCTATCCTAAAATATTCCAAAATGCCCTTAAGCTTTTTATCTAGTGACCCAGCTCATACATTTAAATCTTCAGTAATACTAAACAATGTAGATAATAACACAGGTTATAGTAGTCAGGACAAAACTGAGTCTTGGAATAAATTTTTGAAACATCTAAACGACGTTTTAGCTTGTAAAAATGAAGAATATGTTTAAAATCCTTGCAACTGTAATACTATATGTATATAATATTATTATTCTTTATATGATTTTAAATCCTGGCTTGCTTAGCTTAACTATGTATATTAAACCCTTATCTAGATTTGACTGAACCCACATCTCCCACGTCCTCAATTGTAATAGGTTGTAAATACTTATCAAAATTGGAAGTGAAATCGAAAAGACCAGCACCTAAACCACCTATGCGATCTTCGACTATAAGCCGTCCAGAGGCGTCCAATCCACCTGGAGATTTGACAACAGTACCTCGATTATCTTCAGGTGCTTTACTAAACTTCTTCTTTCATTTTTCTATGCTTGATATGCTTATTTAAATTAAGGTGTTGGACAAAATTTAAATACTAAAACCACACAGATAATTTAAACGTGGTATGATATAGGTTCCACTGCCGATGAAGACGAATTGCGTATGGACGACGAAGAAATCGATCGTATATTTGGAGATGCAACTAGTGGTTACGATACACCATCTATCGTTACCCTTAAAGAAAACAACTCGGAAGTTACAGATATTGATTGGGAATACAAATTACCTGATCCTCCTTCGGCATTTAGGGATGACCATTCTCCTACAATGACGATGTTCGATACAGTAACAATTGGTAACCTTAAGGATGTAGTCTTTCAAGAGGAACCTTCTATTAATCCAGTAAAAGTTAAAGAAGATAGCATCAAAGTTGAAGAGTCTGTGAAAAAAATAATTGGAAACGAATACCATTGTTTCCCTCAAGACTCGGGAATTGGATCAGATGACTCATCATTGCCATCAAGTTGTGAAGAAAAAATACATGCAGATGAAAAATCCGCTAAAATTGTAGAACCAAAAGAATCTAAACTTAATAATTTTAAAATTGTAGCTTATGATGAAGATTGTTCTAGACCAACAGAGATATTCTGTGATGAGTCGGTTAAAACCTGGAAAACAACACAAATAGCTCGAGAATCAAATCCCGCTTACAAAACGCAAACCACAAATTCAATTAATAGACACAAATCATTTAGTATGGATAGAACTAACTTGTCCGTAACAGTCAAACGGAGTACGTCACATATTAGTCTTTTGAGTGGCAATATAAAACCATCGAATCGGTTGGCCAAACACTATATTGGACGAACTTATTCTTCTGAACGACTGAATTATGATGACAATTCTCCAGTGAAAAAATCATTCAGTGTAGATAACATAACAGAAGGTTAGTTAATAATCAACATTTTTGTTTATTTGAATTTGAAATGGTTATTACTGTTTTTATTTTAGATGCGCAAGAAAATTGCCAAGACGACAACGAAATCGAAATAATACCAAAAAAAATTGAACCTACATTAGAACAGTCTTCTCCCTTACACTCCCTTCAGGTATTTTTTTCATTTTGGAATTTATACTAAACAATTTTGTTACACACGCACACACAAACACACACACACACACACACATATATTACATTATAGTTACATTTTTACTAAAACAATAATTTCTAATTATTATTATATTTCAGATATTAAAAACGATTCTCCCACAAATTGAAGATCACAAAGAAAATACAAAAAATAATAATCCAAGGTAAAAAAAAATTTATGGTTAATCATAAACTCGGCTTTCAATAAATGAAACCTTATTATTTAGAGCTTAGAATTAAATACCGAAAAACAGAACTAAATTGAGTGAATGTATTATATTTATATACGATATACTTACTTAATAAGCATGATTTTCAAAAACATAAACATTACTTTTACACGAGGAATAAGTATACTATTTTGAATCATCTACAGTAAAAAACACTCAAAATAATTAAAATTAAAACGAATTTTTAATAAATTAAATTATTTAATGCAATATTTTTAATCTACACTAATAATAACTATGATAAACAACAGTATCGACTTTTTTTTCAATATATTTAAATTCATATGTTGACCTTAGCTTTAGTTATAAAAAATATTAGATTTTAAAATACCTATGTATCATAAAAAACTTAAATATCGTAATAAACGTTTGATAATAAAAAGCAAATAACACAAGAATATGTTTCACTAAACACAAACTTGCAAGTGTTGGTGGGTCAATAAAAAAAAAACAAATAAAATACAGACATATCCTCTTAAACTGAATTTGTTAATATTTACTTCATGCTAATTATGTATATTCAATATTGTATGCATATTATACTTAAATAAACAAACATGTAAATGCATATAATTTTGTTTCTACTGATTATAATACATATATTATATACTTCATTTCACTCATTATTTTAATATTTACATTTTAGTAAAATATGTAAGAAAATTCTCTATGGGTATACAATATTATTTGTTTATTTGTCCTAAAAAATCTAATTACGCAGGTATTTAAAATATAATTTTATACCATTTATTCTATGTATTTTAATCAGTATCTCTTGAAAATTATTAGGACTTAGTTAACGATCAAAATTTTTAATTCATGCTACTGCAAGGCCGAGTTTATATTTTTTGAATAATAACCGATTTATACATATCTGATATATACTCTAATATATACTCCACGGTTAATTAAATTGGGATAGTTTTTATTTATCTATTTAATGGGTGTATAATATTTTCACATAGTATACACTATACAGTATACAGTATATACTCCACATCACATATTTACTCATTCCGTTATAAATTATTTTATAGTTTCGATGAAGTTTCCAATATTCCAAATACATCGCTTACAGAAACAATTTCAAAAAAAACCAATGAAGGTCCGTTTAATGAGAAAGTACTTGAAACGAATATGTCAAAACCAAAAATAGAAACAACGGAATTCAATTATTTACAAACGCAGGGGACTTTTCTGAAACCTAAGTGCCAAGAAGTTATATGTGAACAGAAACCTGTGACAGTTGAAATGGCAGCTACCGTAAAACACGTTAAATCTATAAATAAATTTCACGAAGAGCCTAGTAAAATCAATACACTAAATTTTCCATGTGAATTTCGTGATAACAAACCGGAAGCCCAAATACCAGTCATTAAAGACGATGAAAAAGTTAAAAAGTATTTGTACACGGGTCCCCCAAAAATCAGTTTATCCACGTGGCATGAACGTCCAAAAAGGCAAGTTAGCATCAAAACCGACCGAGATTACGTTATTGGCATTAGACAAAGGTTACAGCGAAAAGTCGACGATAATGTGAACAATAAGTCGTTAGATGAAGACCACTGCAACAAGCCCGTATCCAGAGTACCGATAGTAAAGTCGGTTGAACTGAAAAAACCTTACGCTGAACAATTACAAACGGCTAACCCGGTTCTAGCTCTGTCTGAAGCGATCAAAGTTGAAGCTAAACTCAATAATGAACTAAAGAAACCTTACGTTGAACAATTACCAACGGTTAGCCCGGTTCTGGCCCTTTCCGAAGCGATTAAAGCTCAAGCCAAGCTCAGTAATGGCTACAGTTACCACAGCAACGCAATCGTGTTGACCGGTGAAAATGATGAAAACATAATATTAAGACCGCCGGAAAAGAAATCATCCGCTGACAGCTCGTACACTTTCGGCAAACTTACGGGTCGGTCTAAAAAACCTAGGGAAATTTCAACGAATGTCGACCCTAGGGAAAATCTACTTGAGTCAATCAGATCGTTCGGGGGCAGAGACAACCTAAGAAAAATTAGAGCATAGTTCCAATAGACTTATTACTCAACTCACATTTTACTCAATTATCAAACGGAATAATATTATAATCATATGTTATGAGTCCTTGCGTAATAGATAATTATTTGGTTTGTTTTTTATTAGAACCATAAAAACGTTACATTGAGGTCAATTATTTAAAAAAAAATTCTAACCTGTGGCTTATCATTTGATCTATAAATTAATGATTGCAGCTTATTGTAACAGTATATCCAAATTTAAAAATAATATTTTGATTATTTATTACTCACTCGTACAATTTGCTCTTGTTCCTTGATTTTTTATAAAAATAATTTTCAGATCAAAATCACGAAACCAAAATGTGTACTCTGGTTCCATTTATTGCAATTACTTTTATTAGAGATTGCCATTTTTAATTGAATAAATAAATTATAAATTACTAGGCGCTCAACAAAACTTTGTTTGTAATCAGTTCTGTTTTCTGTGTTTCCGTTGTAAATGAAACACTGACTAACACCTACTGATGCTCATTATAGGTGTAATACCTTTTCTAATTTAGTTGTCCTATTTATTATATTTCTTTTTTTTTTATTTATACTAAGTTATAGACTCAATAATATTAAAGTCATAACCAAAACCAAATATTTGTGACAATTTGTATTTTCAATATGTATTTTATGCATTTGCTCAATAATTCTAAAATTTTAGATATCTTTTAAATTAATAATTTTGGAATTGTTTTAGTTAACCAAAATGATATTTTAAATAATATTATGTTACGTATCTACGTTATTATCGCAAATTATTTACTATAATAGTCGCTTATTTAATAGATTATTATTGTTACGACCTATAGGAGCCAATATAATAGTGCTCATTGTTATTTATATTGTGTGTAGTATGTATTTCATTTTTTTTTTTTTTTTTTTTTTACTATTTGTTTTACAAAATACTCTTTAATACATTATTTATACTGATACTAATACAAATATTGGAATTTAATTAAAGGGAAAATATTAAAACACCCAAAGTTTATAGACTAAATATTATGTACATTTTTATTATTATTTTATGTTTGATTGTTTTATGTTATGTAAATAAAATAATGTATACTGTTATTTAGTGTTATTATTTTGGTAAATTGTAGCCATAATGATAATGGCATAATGAATTATTATGAATAATAATAATAATATACTTAACTCATGTTTTTTCTTAAATATTGGCAAAAATCTAAATACAAGACTTGCTATTTTAAAACTATTCAGTTATATGGTTACAAAGTAAAATACTCTAGATATTAGTAGATATTTCAATATTTAAAGTAAAACTATTTAAACAAATATTCTTCAATATTTTGTATTAATAATAATAATAGGTAATATTTCTTTATAACATTAAAATCATAATAAAGAAGAAATATATTTACAAAAATATAAATTTACTTACTTACATATGAAAATAATAAATTCCTCAAAATATTTTTATCATATTTATTGATTCAATAGTCTTTGATTATATTAATACGTTTTTTAATTAATTTACGCCAGTGTTACAATTTAATTTAAATTTAATTTCCAAGCACAAATGTAAACATGTTGAGTAAAATGTATATTATTATATTAACTACATGCACATAAAATAATTTAATACTCTCCAAAAGAGTTTAATCTAATTATTTTAAACCTATATATTCATTTAATGTTTTAAAACGTCAATTTTAAATATTGATTAAACCAAAATTGAATGAAAAAAAAACAAAAAGGTTGTTTCCTGAATAATAAATGTCTAGTGGAACCGACATTTTTGAAAAATATAAACTGTAATTGTAACAGTCTGATCAGAATGACTTTGGGATTAAATAATTTTGCTTGTGCGTTTTAAGAGTAGTGTTACATTATTTTAATAATATAGACTAAATCCCGTTTACATTATTTAAAATGTATTATTTGCCAATCAGACTTTGACAACTAACAAGTGGCAGATCAATATGTTCGCTCACCCTTTGTCAGAATAAAGCGACGTGTTTAAGCTTGTAGAAAAAAATCTATAATTTGGAGATCACATACTCGTCTGTTTAGCACACGGTAAAATAGAAAAATAAAATAAATCATCACAAATATTGCTGTCAACTTACTGCATAAAAATATTGTTTAATAAGTGTAATTATATAATATAATATATTACAGTATATCGTACATAATATGTTATATGAGTGACGTGTCACGTGTTTAGAATATGTGAAATTTTATATCTATAGTGGGAAGGTTTACATTTCAGCTCACCGAGAAAATACGTAGGTATCAGCACGTATATGCGAAAATAAAGACGGATCATCCCACTAGTATAAGTTCCTTTTATTGTGTAAATATTAGACGATTATTCTCAAAACATCTCGATATTCTCTCAGTCGAATCTAGGTTAAAAAAATCCATGAGATAAAAAATCTACAGGACAAAAAAAACATCGATTTATTTTTGTGCTAAAACAATTCTATGTATTGTACCTATTATATTTATTTTAAGATGTATGATCACTAATATCATTATTTAGTATGACTTACAAAAATAATAATAATAATTAATAAAAAAAAACAATTTAAAATGTTATTAATATAATAATATAATCATATTATGTAAGCAATAGTTGTCAAATTTTCATTAAACCATCACTACATATTTTATACATTTTTTTTTTTTTTTTGTATGTTTTCATAAGTTTTTTTTTCTTTTTTTTTTAATTTTGTCTATTGGAACTTTCCAATTTAGCTAATTTTATTTCGTCAAAGACAACTCAATTATAATGTTTTTAATTAGTGTCCAAATAGAAGAGTGATTATGACCTACTAATTTTGAAAAAACGATGGTTCCATTTTTCTGTTAGGTTGTTGATTCGATATCATCAAGTGTCATTTGATGGACATTTCATGCTGATGCAGTAAAGTGGTAAAAAAAAAGTTGAAAATGGGACGCTTGCGACGAGATAATATTCTGTATAGCTTGTTTGTTGTCTTTTTTATCCGTGGTATTTTTATTTGTGGCTGTTTTGTCCCTTGGACTTTTATTCAGTGACATTTGTATTCTAATACACTCTCAGTAGACGAAATGAAATCATTGACATTAATTGTGTTAACAATACAATTGTGTCTATAGTTATTTTTTAACGCTGTATATAATAGATTATTATCTCCAATAATAAACTATCATATAACAAAGGCAAACGCAGGCCCAGATGAACACAAATTCAATGGAAACACGTGCGTTTAGACCTAAAAAATTACCAAATTTAGAGCCCCATATTTTTTTTCTTAGTTTAAGGTAAGGTTCTCATATTTTCTTATATTACAAATATCTAAATTACATTTATTTAGATGGTTCAATATTTTTTTTTTTCTAAAAAATGTATATTGATTCTTTTTCTTATTAGATGGTGTCTTCAATGTTCAAAAGATCATTAGACAAAAATAATTATTAATCACATAAATACATACAACTTTTGTGTCTGTACTAGCAAAAGAGAAATTATTGTTGCGACATAGTTTTCAATTAAATGAATCTGTGAGAAACAATTATTAAATTATACGATACTAAATATCGAACGTATTGCGGGTGTTGACCAGTCGCCTTTAGTGGCTGTTACTGGCTTTTAAAAAAAATTTACCAATTGCCTTCAGCCAAATGTACTAAATTTATAAGTAAACATAAAAATAATGTATGATAAAAGAATAAGTATAATATTGTAATAATATAAACGGTACCTATACAATGTAATTTGTCCAAAAATAGTATAAAAAATATACCAACAAATAATATATTTCTATAATTATATAATTATTATGCATATTATTATTTTTTTTTTTTTTTTTATGATGATAACTTACAAATTTTATAAAATCTACTGATCTTTATATTAATTTATTAAATCATCGATTTTGTTATTTTGTTAAGGCTTCACTATACATTTGCAACAACTCACGTAACATTTTCTATCGTATTAACGACATCTGAGCTTTTTGTTTAATAAAATTAAGGTACCTAACCAAGAGCATTGTACCCTAAAATTAATAATAAATTAATAAAGATATAATAAATGATAATATCCCGAGTATTGCGGTAATCTATTTATAATAAAATTGTCGTTACTCATTATCTACAGCAACTATCAAAAATCATAACTTATCAAATTTATCGTACACAAATGCGTTTATAATTACCCATCTGGTTAGGTTAAGTTATGTTTTTTTTCCCAAATTAAATTCCATTATCATATTCTTTATATCAGGTGAACTATTTAATACTATTTTTCAACAAATTACATTGTATGCTGCTTATTGTTATAAATAAGAAGTTTAATATTTTATAAAATGCATTTATTTTTTATTTTCACTTATTCGAATACTTGTAGAAAATAATATAATATAATAGGTGAGTCCAATTATTGGTACATTTGATTGAGGACAGTTTATGCATTTTTCTTTGAGTAATTTGAAGGGGTATAAAAAAGGTACTTTTTAGTGCAACCGGTACACATCATGGCAGCTTCACCAATACAACAGAATCTTATCGCTACCGTTGCAGTAATGTAAGGATTTCAAATAAAATAAATTAAATTACTACTCGTAGCTTTAAAAATGGATAAATTTTAATCGAAAATGAACCATTAATATAATATTATGAAGTATATTTCATGTACTGGCAGTAATTATAATATTTGTAAAGTAAGTATTATATATTTTTATAAATTAACTGTAATATAAACTGGAAACAGTGGTACTTGATCCAATATGTTTTTATATCTGGTGTAAAATGATCCGCGCCATCTGATCCGGGAATCAAAATATCCTGTATGTGTCAAAATAACAAGGTGCTAAAAAAACGTGAAAAAAATATAAAATTAAATATCTATGATAGATTCCATTATCCAGCTCTTTGTATTTACCTCTAATTTTGAGCACCTATATTATTATGATACTGATGTATAGTGATGTACCTATTGTATTGGTCGTTTTGCGATAATTTTTTCGAATTGTTTATCGCTAGATGCCTATATGTTACCACTTACCTAATTTAGTTCATAGTTAAGTAATAGAATTTTAACAAATTCATTAATTTCACCAACACTTTTTCTTTAAAATTTAGAAAATATTAACATTGTTTATATTCAATTATCTTTGAAACAATCAAAAAACTTGTTTTTTACATATAAATATTAACTCCAACGTCAACTTAATGAAAAATAATACTTAATTTGTCAATAAAATGATTTAAATATAATACCAAATAACTTAAAAATGTTATAACTATACAGCAATCTTAACGATGTCCACGTTCCCTGTGCCCCAATTAACAATAGATTATCATTTTTTTATTATTATTGTTAGCTTGTATACTTGAATAGTTTTGTTTTTCTTGTACATTACATTTTGCTCACTAGTTAAACATAGTTAAACAATCTCATTCTGATTTTAGTGTAATAATTCCACATCAAAGTTCAAAATCCAATTCTTTTCTTTAATAATAAATTTTTATTTATTAAATATTAATATTTTAGACGTAATAATATGGTCTCTATTTAAACGAAGAAAATGTAAGAATGGTAATGATGCAAAACAAGTAACTATACTTTGGAAAACTCATA